GAGCGAGAGAGAGAGAGAGAGAGGAGGGAGGAGGGGAGGGGAAGAGGTGAAGATGCTGGAGGAGAAGAAACCCCCTTCTTTATAACAGCCCAAAGTCTAAAACATTGGCTCAGAAAGCGTCTATAAGGACACTGAAGCCCTGTCAAAGACACACCCAGATGGCATTTTCACTCTGAAGGTAACACGAGTATTGGACAAAAACAGACTCAACATAATTCTATGTAAACTGGATTTGTGAAGGCAAAGCAAAACAGCATTCGCAGTCTCGCCACTGTTTTCACTAGAAATACGTGAACTCAAATGCTCCTCCCAAGAAAATCCCTTTGGGCACAGACAAAAACTAATTAAGTGAGTATCTCAGCTCTACAAACAGAGTAAATTGACTCCATGTGGAATCGTCTGGATTTATCTGCGGATCTTTACACATCTCTGAGCACGACTGCCCCAAAATCTGCGGCAACCCTGGAAAAAATAAGTACCACATCCTATATAGACTTTCGAAACACATCACGAATGACATGTGATGCTCTTTTCCCAGCAAATCAAGGAAAGAGGCACAGTAACAAAAAATCTGCAGCTGGGTTATTTTTAATCATTGTAAAAAGAAAAAAAATAATCTAGCAAAAGCCAGCAGGCCTCTATTGACTTGGAAAATCATTTTCTATATTAAACTGTTCTAAATACAAATTAGCTTTCTTTGCTCAACATTTATTGTTGTTTCACTTGCCTTGAAATAGCATGAGTCAAAGACCTTATATATATATATATATATTTATCTCATATCCCTTGCAAGACATGCTCATTGACCCATTAAATGAAAAAGACTCTGCGTGTGTGTGGGTGTGCGTGTGCAGGCTTGTGTGTGTGTGTTTGTAGGAAAGCTGGAGAGGGAGGATTCTCCACTTTCAACGTCTTTGTGAGACCGTTACTTAATTTGACCTAAAAAGCATGTGCATCTGTTGCACAGATGAGCATAAATGTACGTGACTTTGTAACAGACCCCAAAGCTCATTTATGCCTTTTTTTTTATAGTGGAATAACAGACAGACAGCAATAACAAAAAGGTTTCCCATTTTTTGATTAATATAACCTTCCGAAATTAAACTTGCCGCAAGGGGAAGCTATAATATATTTTACTTTTGAAATCTATGCACAACTCCATCCCCTACAGGTGGCAAAAACATTCACCCTTGCTTTGAAGTCACAATACAGCTTCTGATGATGTCTTTGTTAAGTCCTTTTAAAACAGTTACAAATTACTTAAAAGAAAATCACGGCCCGCAAGTGTAAAGCTCTCAAAGAACATTACAAAACACAGAGAAATGAGGCCCTTTTCGGGACGATACAGATCTATTTTCTCCCTCTTCTTAAGAAATGTGTTTTTTAAGCCAGGGAAGAAAATAACTTTCAAAAATAAAAAGGAGGGGGCACAACCCTGTCACCGAATTCCTGCAACTGAACCAAAGAAAGATTTTTCAAGGAAAAAGAAAAAATCCACGAACAAGAGGAGGAGGAGGTCTGAAAACTGAACTGGGATCCAGTTCTGACGTGGAGCAGGCCATCAGAATGAAACTGTTAGAACCTCCCTGGCCAAAACCGAGGGCTCAATGTGTAACATCTAACCTGATCGAGTCCAGGGACTCAGGAAACAGGAACGCCGATGGGAGAACTGCTGGGAGGAATTAAAAATATGCTCACAGTTAAATCTATGGAGTAAATAACATGGAATGATCGCTGATTTTATTCAAAAGCGTCCCCTACTGTTCTTGGTCTTAGCGCTCTGACGGATTAGAAGCAATGTTTCTGATCCTTCCAACAGCCTGTGCCCCAGGTCGTGGGAGAGGCTAACTTGCAACCTGTGCTCTGGGACTGAGGAATTTCCCACCCTTTGGGTTCCTTTAAAACTCCTGCGGCTGGCAAGGTGATTTTCAGAGATGATCAGACACGAAGCAAGGGACTGTGCGGCAAGAAGGAGAGACAAGGAGCAGTTCAGAGGGCAGCGCGCTGCAGCGACCGGGCAGCAGGCAGCTCACCGAGCCGAGCGCTGGCACCGACGGCGGCCTTCCGGCTGGCCCGCACCGCGAGCCGCGCCCGTGACAGCCGGTGAGCTCTGTCTTGCCTTCTGTATGTCAGTTTCCCAAAAAAAAGATGCTGGTGAGTAAATGTACACAATGAAAGTAAAATTACACTTTAAAAGGTCCTGCCTCCCGCAACTGCTTCCAGAAGGTTATTTTTCTTGAACAGGCGCCAAAGCGAGGCAGGTAAATTCGGCCCCGGAAGGCAGTGACTCAAACTTTCCAAAGTTCCGAAACAAACAAACAAAATCAGGATAAAATATCACCGCCAGGAAGCCTGGCCTGGCACTCACCTCGGCAAAGAGCCCTCATGGGCCTTGCTGGTTCTCACTATGCTTTTCTTTTTCTTATTCTCTTTTTTTGGCAGGAAGAGGCAATTATGTATTTATTTTATTTTTGGAAGAGGTACTGCGGGGGGCTGAACCCAGGTAAGCATGCACTCTGTGCCCCTGTCCCCCTCATTGTGCTTTTCTGATTGATAACTGAGCCACGCAACGGTTACTCAAACTCAGGAGTTTTTTTTTAAACAGTTCATAAACAAATATTTGAATTTAGAGAAAGTCCTCTTAGCTGGGTACTTATTAGGAAAAGCATGTGAACAGTGCAGTTTGATTTTCCTCCATAGGCCTGTGGGGTTTGGAACCCAGCGGAGACAAATTAAACCTCAGTCATTGCCTCTGCAGAGAGGAAAGCCTTCAGTTAAGAAAAATGTATACCCAATTCGCTTCTTAATTATTTTGGTGACACACTTACATTTTCTAGTAAAAGTCTGGTGAATCTAGAGACCACATTCTAAACTAGCATTAGAAGTGCCCGGATTTGCATTCTGCATGTCTATTACAAACCCTAGGAAGAAATCAAAATTCTCTTTAGACTAATTTTCCATTTCCACCGTGCATATATCACAGTTAGACACGTGGGGGTGAATCAAATTCCTAAAAACACCGAATCAAGGTTCTGATATCAAAAACCAACAAACTGGTGCTATCCCCAAACACAACGGATGTTGAACTCGAGTGATAAATGCTAACGACGTAGCAGGCAGACCTGACTGAAAAGCCCTCTGGGCTGGTGTCCTCGACAAAGTAGGCATCAAATTAAGGACATCAAGTTGAGGCTGATATAAACAACACTAAAAAAAAAAAAATGATATGGGTCCAAACAAAGGCGCTTCAAATTAAGGAATAAAATAAAGCCATCGTTGTCGAAATCCAACCAAACTAATTTGTGGAGAGTCAGCCAGAGAAGCTGGATGACGGGAAACAGCCTCCAAAACAAGGTTTCTAAAGGAGCATCCTGGCTTCCCCAGAGGCTGAAAGTAGCCCACGGCTTGCAAAATAAGCCCTCCCTCGTTTCCTTTTCGTTCACACGTCTTCCACCCCCGGAGAGCGGAGGAGCACGGGGGTCAGGAATCTGGCGACAGGGCTCTCCCCCTTGCTTGCCGGGGGTGTCTGCAGAGCTGCGCTGCCGAGTCCCCGAAACGGGGCCGGTCTGGACGGGCGTGTGCCCCCCACTGAGTGTAAAATGTACGCTCGATTTCAAAGACGTGGCACCAAGGAACCTTCGGGAGGCAGGCTAAATAAAGCCTGTTATTAAAACTGATTTTCCTGGTTTCCATTTAGTTTAAAATGCGGCCACCAGAAAATTTTTAGTCGCATGCGCAGCTCACCCTTGGAGGTTGCACTGTTATTTCTGTTAACAGCGCTGGTACCCAGAGCCTGCCTGCGCGTGTCTGTGTTCTTACGCAGGCTAAGTTTGAAAAAAACACAAGTTTTAGGCCAGGTTTTATGCTCAAAACTGTACTTACCTACACAGAAATCACAAAAGCCGTTAAGAAGCAAAGGTCATAAATCCTCCTAATCTGGGGATTACCGGAATTTGGTTCTGGTTTGATAATCATTAGGAAGACTTAACTACGCTTCTGCCTGAGCCAAGCCTGCTCCCCGAAATAAAGGATACAGAATTCAAAGCAAAAGCTGGAAGTTTGCTAACAAAGAGCGAAGCTTAATTACTCAAAAAACTGTATCACTGCTCAGAACATGTAAATGAAAGTAGTCTCTCTGCAAAAGAGCCATCTGAAAGAATTACATAAATGTGGCTCAACAATGAACCTTTATGCTCCTCATTACATAGTTTTTATTTGCAAAAATTAAATAAAGGCATGATGCTGAACTTTACCGAAAATCATCCACCCCCCAAAAAAGTACAAAAATCTGTATTTAGTAACAGGTTCATCGTCACGTTTAACAACCAGTTCCCATCACTTTAAACTATAAAAACAAATTCATCTCAGGGGGAGGGTGTAGCTCAGTGGCGGGGTGGTCCTGGGTTCCATCCCCAGCCCCTCCATTTAAATACATAAGCAAATAAATCTGACTACCTCTCCCCAAAATAAATTCCTTTACTCAAGTTCTCCCAAAATTTACTTATAAAAAAAATTAGCCTACTAAACATAAAATAAACAGCAAAGTCCTACTGTAGAGCATAAGGAACTATATTTAATATCTTGCAGTAACCTATAATGAAAAAGAATATGAAAAGGAATACATATATATAATTGAATCACTATGCTGTACACCAGAAACTAACACGACATTGTAAATCAACTATACTTCAATTTTTAAAAAAGAATAAATGGTAAATGTCAGTCTATGACACTGTGTTTCCTGTGATTCGTTATGCAGCAAAAAATGACTGATACAGTAAGTGAACACATCTCTACCAATTTTGGAGGGACAAAGGATTTACGGACAAAGGTGACAGTAATAAGACTGAGACGTTAGGGAAAGGGGAGAAAAATCATGGAGGAGAAACACGCTTCAACAGGTAAAAGCCTTCTTTTACGCCTGGCGTAACAGAAGACAGCAGAACACTGCCACATTTGCGGCCCCAGTCAGTCTGCTTCCATAGGCTGTTCCGACTGAGGTTCATAAAGGAAGAGTCACCTCTCGCTGAGTAGTTGGACAGAGGAGGGGTATTAATCAGCTTTTTTATTTACATAGATTTGGGAGGGTGGTAATTAGGTTTATTTATTTATTTTTAAATGGAAGTACCGGGGATGGAACCCAGGACCTCATGCACGCTAAGCACGTGCTCTACCACGGAGCTATATACCCTCCCCCTTGTATTTCCTGTTTCGTCACACAGAACGTTTAAAAAAAAAGGTATTCAAAGGTTAATATTTAATAAAATGAATAATTTGTATGCTTCATCGCAGACATTCTGACGTGAAACTGGCTTTTTTTTTTAACTACAAGTGGGTGGTGGTGAATAGCCCGGGACTGCTTGCACACATGGTGCCACCACCTTCACCAGGATTAAGGAACCAGCCGTCTTCCTCCCCGTTGCTCTTCACACGGTGAAAAAGGCAAAACTGGTTGGACATTATTATGAAAATAGGTTTGACTTTGTGGAGGCCCTGACAGAGTCCCGGGGACCCCTGCTTTGAGAACCACTGGTGTACGTGACTGCCTGCCTGAAGGCAGATGGACAGATGGTACAAACGTGAACCTGGGAGCCAGGAAGCTCGCCATGGTTCATTCATTCAATTGCGCTGATTTAAAATATATATGAGAGTGTGAAAAATAAAGCGAACAAAGCCTAAAAAATGCAAAAAATAAAGGGAATGAAGCCTAAAAAATGCAAAAAATAAAGCAGATAATGCCTTAAATATGTGTGTGTGTGTGTGTGTATGAAAAATAGATTGCACTGAAAAATGTAACCTCAATTCTCTTCTGGGTTAGTCTGATATGAGGAATAAGCGTGGACACTCTCTGGCCACAGTGCACCTTCACGTTCACATGCACACAGGACTCCGAGCTTTGGTAAAGTCCCAGAAAAGCCCTCCCCAAAACTGCATCTGCCCTTGTCCCAGTGCAGCCGTTTCCAGGCATCAGATTTTACAAATTGAAAGCCTATATATAAAAAATGTGTAGAGCCTGTCAGATGCACCAAGACGAATGACGCCCACAGATGCCACGGCCATCAGTGCCGTGCATGACGCTGGGCTGGCGCACCCCAGGGCCCAGCACCGGCGGCAGTCCACCCAGGCCACCTGCAGGGCTCCCCGCCACGGCAAACAGCCTTCTCCACAGGCTGTTTCTCTAGTTCTGCGGATGCCGGCTCTGCCATGCTTTAGAGAACTCCCCACGGAGCTCTCAGACCCCCACCAGCTCATTCCACCTGCCCTCTAAGCTGCAATAAATTTGTTTTAAGTCAATAACTGCATTCACTTGCAGAGCTACGAAGTCCTCTACCGGTTACAGCTCTTCAAATAAACAGCCCAACCCAGGAAACTGCACCTGCCACCTGCCGTTCAGTGTGTGCGGGCGGCTGCACCGCGCACGGCGTCATCTGCAAAGCATCCCATCTGGGCACGTAGAAGGAAAACAGACAAAACATGGAAAGAGGTGGCCACGGGCTACTTTTTCTGCTCAATAAGAACATCAAAAAAAAAAAATCAGTGACGTTTTAAAAGCATCTACACAAATAAAAACCAGCCACGTGTGGGAGACGCTGTGCGCCCCCGCGGCCGCAGCGGGCAGGGCCGCCGGGAACGCTGTGGGTTCTAACAGAGCCCCTTCCATCCCCCGACCCCGCGACCTGCTCAGCAGGGCCAAAATCACGCCATGGAGGGAACACGTACCCACTGCGTCTGCGCCGTTTCCTTCATCGACTCCGTGAAAGCGACAGCGAACCTGGTAAAGGGAACAAAAATGACGGAAACAATCAGGGCAGAATTCAGCGACCGTGACCGTGAAGCAGCTCTTGCGAACGAACCGCGAGAGACAGGCTAAGACGCTGAAGGTGCCGCGAGTCACTGGCCATTAGACTTCATCTCCGCTCACATCCACGACAACAGGTTCACCAAAGGAAGGCAAGGCTGAAGTATCCAAGATTTCCTGAATGTCCGTGGATAAGGAACGTTAATGCCCCCGCTCACCGAGAAGCGGCTGTTCCCCAGAAGCAGGGCTGGATACACACAGAATGAACCGAGGACACCTTATGGCTCCAGAAAGTAAGAAAGAGCTCCAAGAACGGTGAGGGCTTGTCAAGAGGATGCAGGACTCAACTCAAAACCTCTCCCACGGCCATCGCTGGGGTGACCTGGGCGCCGAAATAAACAATAGGAGTGATGGGTAACCCAGAGAGTTGAATAAACATCCTTGGGTCTATGGTGATGTACGCAGATAACTGAACGAGTAAATGGGGTCAAACAGACAACTCGTCCCTATAGCAGAATTCCAACTAATGAACTCCTTCTAGGAGTGGCAGAAACAGAAAATCACCATTACACAAACAGCGGAGTGACAACTGTTGTAGCAAAGAACCATCTGTAGGTGACTGCTCCCCCCGGCGTGACCCCTGCCTGTGTCTTCTCCAAGCTTCCCTCTTCCCCTCCTCCCTCTCCCACAACTGGCCACCATCCCAGACACAGCCACTCACACGCCCCCGGCTTAGGGGACAAGTGAGGGGCCCTCCCCTAGGGGTAGAGTAAACGTGGGCGAGGAGGACAGACCATATCGGGCCTTCCGTCCGAGCCCAGCCGGGGTCTGACTCCTGGCACCGGTTATGAGATGCTCTCCACGACGCCAGAACATTGGCGAGAAATGCAAACGCTGTCATCAGAGGGCGTCGACCTTATGTCGAGAAATGAGGATTACAAGGAATGAAAAGCGACTAAATAGCAAGTCCAAGGATGGAGTAGAAACCTTCCTTCGTGCAAAACTGCAAAAGCGAGAAACTTAAGAATCAAACCAGTAACACCATGCATGTAAATCGCCTGCCACGGTTCTCGGTCCCTAGTTCATCTAACACCTGATCGACACCGTTAAGTATTACTTTTCTCCAGCACTAACACAGCGACCAGGACTTCTGCAAGACATCAGGGCTCCCCACGTGGCCAGTGAACAAACCAGCTGACAGCCCCAAACTCTCAGGGGGCAAAAAAAAAAAGCAACACCCCAAAAGCAGGAAGAGCTGCTGAGCAGGGAATCAGGCCAGCGACACAGACACTGCGTTTTCCCCTCCAGCGGCGTTCACGGACAAATGCACAAGTACAACCGCCCGGACGGCTTCTGTGGCACGTTAAATCCGCCCGTTTGGCAAGCGTCATGATCCGTCTTCCCGTGAGAATGTCAGCCCCGCGTGAGCTGTCACATCAATCTGTCACAGCCACCGCCCAGCCCCTGCGGTGTCTGGCACCCAGGAGGCGGGCAAAAATGTCTGCTAAATATGATTAAATAAGAGAACGAGGGAGTGAGGGAGCAGCTCCACCTGCAATTCCAACAGGAAGCAGGGGAGGGCGAGGCAAGTTTCAGGGAGAGAGGGGGAGAGGGCGGGAAAATGTCCCAGGTGCAGGGACCTGACCATGTGCGTCGGAGCCCAGCGGCTGGCTGGGACTGTCCGCCACCCACATAACTGTCCCCACCATCACGTCCTGCTCACTCCGGACCCGAGATGAGGCATCCGCAGGAGCGACAGCGTCGGCTTAAGGCTGCAGGGAAGAATGAGAGTCTCAGGAAGGTTTCCATTCCACAGCGCAAGTGTGAACGGTCCGGGAGTCAGGAGGGTGAACTGGGGGTCATGCTGTTAGCCACGTCACTTCTGTCAGACACATCATTTATTCCGGAGCGGCAGATACCCCGGTCTTTATGGTGGCTCCGCACGATAGAAACACTGGCCCTGACTTCGCACCCACCTAACGGATCACCCTGAGGGGAGTTCCCAGCCCAAAGACTCAGGGAAAATAAAGACGTTTAAAATACATTTCTTATGGAAAATATCAAGTGGCCACTTCCGCACTTTTGCTTGAATGTTGCCATTTCAAAACATGCTCCCCTTGACACAGTTCTGTTCAACAGAAACATCTTTAGTAACACCACAGCTCAAAAACCATACGAAATTACCAACATTCAACCATTTCTGACCTACAAAATAGTCATTTCACAGGGCTTCACCTGTCGCAGGCTACAGATTTCATAATTGTGAGAGCACCTGTCAGTCAATTTCATTTCCTACAAACCCCCTTTTGCTCATTCGTTTGGCAATACTGTTTTTCTCATATGCACTTCGATGAGGCTTCACTAAACAATTTCCACATATTTCAAGAACTCCTTACTTAATTCTGGTATTTATAGTTACCAAATGCTTATTATAATATTCATCAGCCAAAAAAGCTGATGCTAACGTTAAGTTCGCACGCTGTATACCATGTAGGAAAAAGAGTTTTAAGTACTAAAAAGGCTGAAAGATACACCTCACAGGGAAAAGCACACCTCTTTAAAATCATCTGATTAAAAATGAAACACTCATTAGAAAGCTAGACGAAGGTCAATAATTTGTCTTCTAGAAAAGTGGGCTGAATTGTGTTGGGCGAGAAATCGGATTCATGCAACTTGTCCTGCCCGCTGACTTCAATCAATCCCCACCCCCAACTAAAAATCAATGTGTGTTTTAATAACAATGCAGTAAGTAATGCTAGTGATATCATATGATGAATTCATCCAATATTGGTTCTCCCGAGCAGAATTATTTTTCCTTCTGTAAGACAGTGCATTACAAATTGCAGAAATCTAAAGGCAGTACATTTGTACAATATAACAACAGCCAGAAGAAAACGTAATATGACAGATGACCTTTCAAGGGAAGCTCACGCTGTTTGAATACCTTTATTTATTGTAAAACACACACACACACACACACACACGGAGTACGCCCTATTGTAAAAAGACTGTATTGCCACATTTATGTTCGGGAAGTCCTCAGGCAGAAGTAGGGTCCTGAAATGCAATGACATCCTAGCCTAGTTTTAAGGCACAAGACCAACACCTATCTTGTGAGCTAATAAAACTTGGGTTTATATTAACTCTTAACAAGAATTCTGTCTCCTCCACCACGCAGAACCTTCTAAGGTTATGTGCGTCCAATATTAACCGTGGTCCAAGAATTATCCAAGTGCAGTAACTGGTCTACAATGACTATGTGCAGCAAAATAAAAATGTACCAAATGAAAGAAACAAATGAAACAGAAAGAAACCGACTTTATACGGTGAGGCGTAAACCACCCCAACTACTGGTTTCCTCATCTTTTGGTTTCAAGGAACTCCATCCAAAAGGGTTAAATGCCTAACTCCTGTGAAATTCTCTGAAGTATTACCTGGCTTCCTCAAGGACTTTCCCCATCACTTTGTTTTTTTCTCCCTGGTTAACATCTTCGTTTAAATCAGTTCCACCAAAGATGACTCCAAATGGAATTCCATGACCTGCAAAATTAGGGGAAGTAACAAAGCAGAATTTAACTTTGAAAACCACTCTTGCTTAACATCCCAAAGCAATGACATCGAAAACCGAAGTTCCCAGAACATAGGGACCGTGTTTTGTTGTTTGTTTCATTGTATCCAACTCTCCTGAACAGACTAGGTGCCACTATGATGAACACGACCTGGAGTTAATCACGTGAAACAGGACAATTTTCAAACAATTTGCTTTCAGTTTTAACACATGAAAAACCAGCTATCAAAGCCAAGCTCATCATTTCTAGGAAATGGGTTGATCTTGAACTACTGGTATTTATGACAGTAAAAGAGTTCATGTTATATCATATTATATTACATTATATTATATTATGCTAGGTTATGTTACATATTGACTTTAGACCTGCTGTTGATCATAATAACAGACATCGTGCCGGCGAGGAACTGTAACAGGGAGAGGAAAGAGATCTTTCCTGCATCTTCAAGGAACGCGCAGTACACAACGCAGCAGTGATAAATCCTGGAGGGCACAGATACACGGAACCAAAAATACTAGAGATGCTGAGCTTGTCAAGTGCAGAAGGACTTCCCACCGGAGTGCGTCTACGCTGAGCGGAGGGCCCTGTGCTGATGGACGGCTCGGTCGCGGGCTCGGTCATCTGAGGCTCCGACCGTGCACAGATCAAGCCGTGTGCTCATCAGACACAGCTCCCCAGAAGGACATCCAAGGTCAACTGAAAATTTCAAAAGAGACGAAAGCCCTCGCAAACCACTAAACAGACCAGATCTCACTTGAGTTCATCCTGGGGTTGGTTTCCCAAACAAGCCACCTCCACTGAGATTTCAGTGCTTACGTGAAAAGGCACTGATCTTTTATTTACCTTAGAAATGTTCTATCGTGCAAGGAGAGCCGTTCTATCTTTTTCCTAAGAATTGAGCCACAAGGTACCAAGCACACCAGTAACACATAAGAGATACAGAGAGGCTGTAAGTAAAAAACTCAGATGAAAACTTTAGAAAAAAATTTTTAACGTGAGAAGATCGAGTGCATTTTGATTGACACAATGTGTGTATGAAAGCCATCAGCATGCATTTCTGTGGACACAGAACACCTGTGGAAGGATTCGGGAGGCAAAAACCTGGCTACCATGGTCTCTGGGGAAGAAACCCAGGAGATGACATATCTGGGATGGGAGAGAAACTTCACTTTTCGCTCTGTAACATTTTATATTGTTCGTGTTTTTTACTATGGAAAGGCATGACCTTGCCCAAAAATACAGACAGACAGACAGCCAGACACAGACAAGCACACCTAGTAGAGATGAGTCACTTTCTACAACGGCTTTAGACTCAGGGGCGGGGGGTGCTGAGATGGGAGAGTGATTTTAGCACGTGGGACAGACATGAATCTTTGGGTACCGGAGAAAGGTCCGTGGCTCCCAAAGACGTCCATCCATAATTCCCACAAAACTCTGAATATGTTCCAGGAGAAAGGGCGATTAAGGTAGATGGAATTGAGGTTGCAAATCAGCTAACCCTAAAACGGGAGAGATGATCCCAGATTATCCAGGTGGGCCCAGCGTCATCACGGACTCCTTATACGGGAGGAAGGCAGGGGACGAACGTGAGCAGGGCTGGACCAGCCATCGCTGATTCTGAGGATGAAAGGGGACCTGAGACAAGGAGAGTGGGTGTTTCTAGACAGTGGAAAAGGCAAGGAGGTGGATTCACCACATGAACCCCCTAAAAAGGAACGCAGCCCGGCGAACGTCTTGATTTCAGCCCAGTGAGGCCCATTTCAGCTCTCTGACACCTCAACTGAAGGATCGTACACGGGTGTTATTCTAAGCCACTGGCTTGGTGGTAGCCTGCGGTAACTTGTTACAGAAGCCCCAGAGCAAATAACCCCACGGCCTTTGCCACAGAGGGAAGCTTCCCCTAATAGAAGCTGAAGGGGGCTAAGAAAACAGCAGAAAGTCTTCTGGTGAAACCACCAAAGACAAAGAAACAGACACCTGAAGGATATAGGCTGGGGCGGGGGGTGTAGCTCAGTGGCAGAGCACATACTAGCGTGCACGAGGTCATGGGTTCAATCCCCAGCACCTCCTCCAAAAATAAATAAATAAACCTAATTACCTCCTCCCACTAAAAAATTTTTTTAATTAAAAAAAAAGAAATATGCAGACTGGATATCAAAGTAGGTGCTTAAAAGCTCTGAGAAAACAATAATTGAGATGATCAGCCCTCAAGTTCATTAAGTCAATCAGCAAACATTCAAATACGTCCAGTCTAATGTAGCGGGGGAGAACGCAGGACTCCGACGCCGCCCAGCCTTGGCTTAGAGTCTGTTCTCCACCCGGAAAACGGGTGACTTGGCGCTGGTTACTCAGTGTCTCTGAGCCGCGGCCGCGCTGGTCTGCGGAGCGGAGGCCCCAGCAGCGAGCCGAGCTACGTGGGAGGGTAAACGACGCGCCGCGCGCGCCGGGGGACGTGGAAGCGACTCCGGCTTCGCTGGGCTTTGTCCGGAAACCGGCTGAACGGACAGTGCGCGCGGCAGCGATCGCAGCGCCACCAAGGTAAAGCGGCGCGCGCGTCTGCGCGCTGAAGGCCGCCGGCAGGGGGCGCTCCCCACGCGCCCCGGCGGGAGACGGCAGCGGGGCGGCGCCCGCCCCCTCCCGCCTCCGGCGGCGGCGCCCCGGTTCTAGGCTCCCGGACTCACACTGGGACTTACACCCCCCCACCCCAATTCTCAGGCCTTCAGACTCGGGCTGAATGAAGCCAGCGGCCTTCCTGGCGCCCCGCGTGCAGGCGGGAGGCCGCGGGGCTCGCCAGTCTCACATGCGCGACGCATAACCGTGCGTGTGGGAAGATCTATCACAGGCACTGGCTGCGCCACGACGCATGCGCAGACAGCACGGATGTATGCTAAGGGACACACAGATACGCACTGACATCCGTGTGTTGTTCCGTTTCTCCAGCAACCCCCGAATAATACATCAGGAGGAAGAAAGTCACCCCAAAGCTCATAGCTGAGCGCCCTGCTGAACGCTAGCCAGTTCTGCAGCCAACCCAGCCACCCCACCCTAGCATTCCTATTCTGGGTTTGTTTCGTTTGCGGCGGTAACTAGTTTATTTATTTACTTACGTATTTTTCAATGGAGGGACCGGGGATTGAACCCAGGACCGCGTGCACGCTAGGCACACGCTCTACCGCTGAGCTCTGCCCTCTCCCACCGTCATGCTCTTTATTAAATCTCCTATTCGACGCCCAGTCCCTCAGAAGCTCTTTAAACTGGCTCTAGCATCTCAGTGGTTCCCTCATTAATAAACCAGTGGAACGTGCCCACATCGACATTGTGTTAAAGAGCCTAATGTTCTTAACTTCTGAAAAGTGTACTTGGAGTGAAGGAGCACGCGTGGAAAACATGCAGAGCGAGGCTCTCGAGGCAGGAGAAACGGCTCCACTCTCAGCGGGCACGAGTTGCAGCCTTTCAGAAAATGCCGCCGCAAGGAGAGCACGCCCGCAGGAAGGCTGTGCTCCCCCCGCGTCTGAACCAGGTAGACGGCGCACACGGCTTCATGCACGCGTTAAGCTGACATCATCGGCGCTTCTGGTGTTGCTCATTTCCAGGCCTTGGCCTCTGGAGGGAAACGGGGTTTACCTCGCAAGAGCCTCCCTCCTCTGTAGAGATGAAGAGCCAGGGCCGCCTCCAAGCTCTCAGCCTTGATGAAGTTTGCGATTTCGGATGGGCTTTCAAAGTCAAAGGCGTCTCTCAAAATACACTCGTGACCTGCAGCTTCCAGATGGTCCCTTTATCAAAAAATAAACAGAAAAGAAAAAAAAAGATGGGAGAAAAAATATTAACAAGGCACAGGCTGCTGCTGCGGTTAAAATGTTTAATCGGATCAGAAGAAGATTTAAACCGGAAGTTAACGGTAACTATGCTCTGAATTGCCCTTTGGAGGGGATCCACCTAAAAGTCTCCAATCCCAGGACCGCGGCTCGGACCGTGGCTGGGACCAAGGCTGGGGGAGGAAGGGCCAATTCAGGGAGGCGTGGCAGTCTTGAGAGACACCGGCACACACTGCCACTTGCAATGGCGTTTGCTGCACCAAAAGGCACCTTCTTTATTTCTTTGATTCCACTTTCTCCTCCTGCCCTTAATTACGGTCAATGTCCAAAGTTTGTTTCCAGGCATCTGTTAGTCAGTTTTTAATAAAGAATTCAAAAATGGCCCCTTATCATAGCTTAAAAAAAATACTCCATGGCTTTCCCATTCTACCACCAAAATGTCTTTCAAATATGTCTCTTCTTTCTCTTCTCTTCCTGGTTCACTTCCTTGCAACATAAATCTAAAATACAAACCTGGTTGAAAAAAAAAACTTTTTTCTTGGCAACAAAAATGTGAGCAAAACCAAAGGGCAAGTGAGAAACTGGGAGGAAAAAAAAAACCTACAACATGTACCAAAGAAAAGAAACTAATTCCTTAATACATAAAGAGCTCTTACAAATCAACAAGAAAAAAACGAAACAACCCACTAGAAAAACAGAGATCAGCATAAAATTACAGTCCATATGTACACACACACACACATATATATGTATATATACAGTTGGGCTTTTAAATACAAGAAATGGTGATCAAAAAAGAAAAAAGAAATGGTGATCAACTTCAGTCATCTTTTTAACATAGACTATTTGCAAAGACCAAAAGCCTGCCCAAGGCAATAAATACTCCTATACTGGGGAAACCAGCACAATGTCTTTGATGGACAAGAGCCAGCATATGTAAACTGCACAAACTCTGTGACCAAACAACTTTGCTTCTAGGAACTGATTCCAAAGACACACCTGGGCATGAGTGCAAAGCCATGTACCCGAGTGTAAGCACTGACGCTGTGTTTGAAGTAGCAGAAAGAGTAATGACCTCAGTGTGCACCTGCAGGGGATGAGTTTTACACCCAGGTGAAGCAATCCAGCTCTGCCACCAGGAAAGAATGCAGATAGCTGTGACGTGATTTAGAATGAACCCCAAGACACGTTGTCAATGAAAAGAGAACAAAGGGAAGCCTGCTTTGTGTACATGCAGTGTGTGCGCCCAGAACAGCTCTAGAAGGGCATGTAAGGAACTGATAACAATGATTCTGTCTAAAGAGGACCAGGGACCAGGGACCAGGGTCGGGGAGAGCTTATCTTCTTGTCACACACCCTTTCGCACTGCTGGATAACTTTACCATGTGCACACATTGTCTTTGATAACTGTTTGAGGTGCGTGAGTGTGTGCGTATGTGAATACACAACCAATCCAAGCACGTCTCTTCCTCCATCAAAACCCTCAAACTGGCTTGGGCTCGGGGCAGCCAGCTCAACTGTCAACCCCGTGCGAATGGAGCCGAATCCGCCCTGCGTACCGAATAGACTAACGGCGGAACGCGTCTCTGGGATCAAGTCCAAACGCCTGAGCCTCGCACACGGTGCCCTTCACAACCTGCACCACCCCCCTCCTACCACCCTCAGCTCCAGCCCCACTCTTTTTTGCCTGCAGGATGCCCAAGGCATCATGCCTTCTGAGCCTCGAGACCAAGCCCCAACATTCCCCAGTGCCAGCTCCTTTCAGTGACATCCACAGCGCCTGCCCTGTTGTAAGCAGCTCTTTGCCCTCTTCTGTTTGTTCCTCCCCATGTTCCTCAGACTTCAGTCACCAGGATGAGGTCACCAGGCAACACTTAACCCGACTTCCAATTTTTGGCTTCACTGAATGTTCACAACACCTTGCCTAACCTCCTGATGTCTATCCTGGATCAGAAAGAGTAAGAACGAAGAAGGAAGGCGTTAAAGAATGACTGGCTCTCTCCTCCTCGTTTCTCCTTAGCAAATGTGCAGGTGAACCACGCAGCCAAGAGAGCTTCCAACTGCAGGCGGGCCACTCGGGCAAGAGAGCAGCCAAAGGAAGATGGGGAGAAGTCAGCTGGTGTGCATGCAATGGAAAAACGGTGGAGTTTGACCTCTTACCCTAATGATTAACTGAAATAGTTTCCCCTTTTCCCCTTTAAAAACCATCATGGCTGAGCAGAATCTTCAGAATCTGGGACACGAGTCCACCTTCTCCCTAGACTGCCAGCTTTTCTGAATAAAGCACCTTTCCTTTCCACTGACACTTGCCTCTCAATTACTGGCTTTTGAGCGGCGAGCAGGCAAACCCGAGTTTGATAACACTCTCACTATTTCCGCTGTGCTCTGAGTCTCTCCCTACCACAGCCCCTCTGTGTTCAACTATATGAACATGGGAGTCACATCGTCCATACAGCATCTGTTACAAATCAGCACAGAGGCAACAATCAAGTACACTTGAAAACACACTTGAAATTCTTAAATCACCCAGAGGTACTAGAGGATACAGTTCAAACCCATCACAGCCATTTTTTCCCCCTAACTCCAGTAACAATAAAGATTATTCTTCTTCAGCTAAGCACACTAGATGAATTAGCTGGCTTGCAGTCAGGGGCATCACTGTACAAAATAATAAGAGTTAAAACAGAAGAATGAAGGATCTGGAGTCTTTAAGCAAAATGATCATAAAATGACCAACTTGTTTACATCATAGGAGCCACATGGGAACTCAGGACCTCTGAAGAAACATTAGATTCAAATCTTCAAGCTGCATCACCGACACTGCCACGTGAATGATGCATTCTTCTCTCTCACTCTGTTTCCTCTTTTGTGCTGTAAATTAAACATACGATGTTGCAGCTGTTGCTGCAAAGAAAGAAAAACTAAGGTCCTGAGCCTTCAGTTGGCTTATGCCATTGAAGTATCTTGAGTATATCTTGATCTTATCATTTCTACTGTTAATGTTGATCCACTCAGTCAGTCCAAAACACCGCCCCACCCACCGCCAACTCCTTTGCAAATGCTAGTGGCAACTGCTAAGCAGAACCAGGAACGAAGCCTGAAGGCAGTCTAGCTATCAGCTCACTTCAGCCTAAAAATACACATCACACAAAAATAAGCACTCAACGTGCTTCTGAGCATAGGTGAGTAACTGTTATTCCATCTTCTTAACACTCTAGGAATGAGGAGCCACACACAAATGGGTTGATAAATGAACAAGAAGGAGTTTGAATTCTCCTTAGGGAATCCATACCTGTGGGATCTCTGGCAGGTGCGGAGACGGACACGGTAGGGCATGTGGGATGTGGCTGGTTCGGTACAGATGCCGGCTTGTTCTACATCTTGAAACATACTTTGAAACAGCATTTCAACACTAGCTTTATAATCTAATACATATTCCAAAATAGTCGTTGTTTTTAATCTTAATCCTCTCTATGGACTGAGAATCTAGCCTTGTTTCTGGTTGATGCGTCACGCCTTTAAATTGCTCTGTCCCTATTCCTTCTGCAAGCAATCCCTTGATACAACTAATAAATTCCCTGAGCGCCTATTATGTCCACGGAGTTCCGGCTTCTGTGACTTAAGGCAGGCTTCATTTGAGAAAGACAGCATCTCTGATAAATGGAGAGATTTTGAGTGTTTATGTGGCAGTTCTAGGAACCGGCTGAACCTGTACATTCCTGACTCCAGATTCAGAGACCCAGTGGAACTCTACCTGCTTCCATCTGGCTGAGGACCATCCTCTTTAACTGAGTGACAGAAAAGCTTAATCAACCCAACTTACGTGGATTTCCACAAACTGTGATGTCTTGACTTTTTAAAAAAGACAGCAAGATGAGGGGAGGGTATAGCTCAAGTGGCAGACTGCATGCTTAGCATGCATGAGGTTCGGGGTTCAATCCCCAGTACCTCCTCTAAAAGTAATGATAATTATAATTAATAAACCTCATTACCTCCCCCACCCCAGGGGGAAAAAAGATAGCAAGATGAAATCTTTAGATTAAAAAAATAAAGACACAAATGAACTTATTTACAAAACAGAGACAGACTCACAGACATAGAAAACATACTTATGGTTACCAGAGGAGGAAAAGGGCTTGTGAAGCAATAAACTGGGAGTTCGAGATTTGCAGATACTAACTACTGTATATAAAATAGATAAACAACAAGTTCCTTCTGCATAGACCAGGGAACTATATTCAATATCTTGTAGTCCCTATAATGGAAAAGAATATGAGAATATATATATGTATGTCTATATATGACTGAAACATTGTGTTGTCCACCAGAAATTAACACAACATCATAAACTGCCTATACTTCAATAAAAATAAACAAACAAACAAATAAATAAAAAGATGGGACAAGAAACCAACACAAGGCAGGCAACATGAAGTCCACTCTGTATCTATGAGCTCCTACACGATCTTGAGATGGGAAACGAGAGGCTAATATTCCTTAAGGCCATCCCGCTGGTGGGCCCAGCGCCTCTCACAGCCCAAGCGCCCCTGGCAGCCCAGTGACTGCAACCACAGCTCACCCGGGGGAACCAGGGCTGCGTCACCGGCAGGGCCAAGTCACCGGTGTTGAACTGTAAAATGTTACCCTCTGGCGATATTTTAAGAATTTCTGGTACCTTAAAGAAAAAAAGAAAGAAAAGAAAAGACGATGGTCTTGAAATGATGACGGAATTCAGAAGATGAAGGCCTTGCAGTGAAGGCCCGCACAAACCCTCAAGCCCCAGCTGCGGAAGGTAAACTGGAGAGGACACTGCCCCGCCTGTCTGTCCGTGAATTAACTGACATGATGATAACACATCTGCGGGACCTGGTGTTAACCTCGAATTTTCCCTCTGCGGGGGCGTCTTGTAAACTGTGAAGTGTGTCTACTGTTCTAATGCAATTCTAACAGGACGCCTGTACTCAAGAGATTATGGTTACGAAATATGAATGCAATATGAATATAAAACAGACTGTAAAAATGACAAGTTTTGAAAGAACAGAAAAAATACAACGACAAAACAGGCAAGGCGTCTAGACCAGGAGGTGCCTCCAACCCAAATACCGGCTGAGGGCAGACTGATGAAGCAGGTGAACTTGGGGGGAGCGGCCGGTGGGGGAGGGAAATGAGACAGGAGGAGCCCTACGCCAAACGGGAGACAAAGGTCCCCCCTGCAGGGGTGAGTCCTGTGTTGTCTATTAAGGCAAAGTGTGCCTGCTGAGCACCGGAAATGTGGAAGTCTGAACAGAGATGCGCCGAGTGTGACACACACACACAGCTCATTTAGTAACTTTTGGATTGACGGCGTGTCGAAATGGTATTTGGATGGACTGACTTCATGAGAATAAATTACGAAAATTAATTTGATCTGCTTCTTCCTACTTTGTCTAAAGTGACTACGAGACAGTTTTAAATGACACCCGCAGCTCCCTTTCAGTCCACACTGGACATGCTGGGTTAGATCCTCTGTGGCTCCAGACGGTGGGTACCACGCAGACATGTTCTCACGGTTGTGGGTTCTGCCAATTCACCGAGAGAAGCCAGGTATTAGAAATTCTAGGAAAAACTTCCCAGTTTTAACCAGCTCCCCACCAAGTTATTTCTTCTTCTTCTTCTTTTTCAGTTGAGGTGTAGCTGATTTACAAGGTTGTGTTAGTTTCTGGTGTACAGCAAAGTGACTCACTCACACATTTTTTTTTCTTTTTTCTATGGAGGTGATGAGGATTGAACCCAGGACCTCGTGCATGCCAAGCCTGTGCTCTACCACTGAGCTATAGCCATCCCCATTTTTATATGTTCTTTTATCATATTCTTTTCCACTATAGGTCATTACAAGCTATTGAATATATCTCCCTGTGCTCTACAGCAGGACCTTGTTATTTATCTATTTTATATATAGTGATGTGTATCTGTTGATCCCAAACTCCTAATTTATCCCTCCCTTCCTTCCCCCTTTGGTAACCATAAGTTTGTTTTCTATGTCTGTGAGTCTGTTTCTGTTTTGTAAATTAGTTCATTTGTGTCATTTTTTTTAGATTCCACATGTGAGATCATATGACATTTGTCTTTCTCTGTGATTTACTTCACTTAGTATGATCATCTCTAGGTCCATCCATGTTGCTGCAAATGGCATTATTTCATCCTTTTTTATGGCTGAGTAGTATTTCATTGTGTACAACTTCTTTATTTGTAGATGGACATTTAGATTGCTTCCATGTCTTGACCACTGTAAACAGTGTTGCTATAGACATTGCGGTGTATGTACCTTTTCGAATCAGAGCTTTCTCTGGGTACATGCCCAGGAGTGGGACTGCTGGATCACAGGGTAAGTCTACCTTTAGTTTTTTGAGGAACCTCCATACTGTCCTCCATAGTGGGTGCACCAATTTACATTCCCACAAACATTACAGGAGAGTTTCCTCTTCTCCATACCCTCTCCAGCATGTATTGTCCCAGCATGTATTGTCCCCCTAATTATTTCTTGATCCTTCGACGCCAACATTTGTTATCCCCTTAAATCTTCAAAAGTTCACGGAGGTTTGCTTCTCCCCTTCCCTTTATTTAAAAAAATTGGTACAGCTTTTGCTCTGAAATGCATTGCCCACATCGCATTCTTTCCCACGCTTCCCCCTCCTGCAGCCTTGAATGTCCTCATCACCGACGTGACCGGGAAGTGCCCACCCTCCAGATCCAGGGTGTTCCCACCGGCTTCCACCGACCAGAGCACCGCAGCTCACACGCTCCCACGCCCCCACGCCGGGTGTGCAGCTCTGGGGCCCGGGGCTGCGCTTTCAGAGACGCCGACTTGCTCTTTCCTGCTGGGCCTGAACCGGGTGCGTGTACGTAGGTGCCAGGCAAGCAGACCTGACAAGAATGGGAAGCGGACCCAAGAGCCAGAGAGCAGCTGACTCCGGTCCGCGCCATCTTAGCTGCAAAGCCATGCCTGAAGCCGGCCCCACCTCCAGACTTTTTATCGGATAAGCAGCTAAGTCGTCTTCATTGTCCAGACCGAGCAGGGCTGGGTTTTCAGTTACGCGAGGCTGAGAAGTCTCTGCTAGGATTATAGGCCAGCGGCTTAGAGCCTTTTTGGTTAATTTATATAAAATCTTTTGTTGTCGCATCAAGCTCTCTGTAAGCCACAGCTGTTACCTTTCCTCCAGGCGCCTCCATCACGTCAACTGTCCAGTGACATCCCAGGTCTCCCACACCCCTGACCTCTGCACCTGCAACCCACAGCCCCTCCTGTCTCTTCTCCCAACTCTGCAAAGATTCCTTGTGTGGTCACATCAATGGTTTATCAATACCATAGACTCTCCTTTCTCGGTCTTTTGTGCGACCGTGGATGCATCTGGCAACACATCAGCCTCCCCCTCAAATCCCAACCATCCAGATGGCTGCATGCCCTCCAGTCCTCACCCCACCTGCAATCTGCCTGGACATTCCCACTGGTCAGAGTGAGGCCACGCCCCTCCTCCCTGCCCCTCCCATTTGCTCCCCTCTTCAAGAACAAGACAGGATAAGATCACGGAGGCCCTCCAAGCACCAACTCCTCCTGCACATTAAACTGTGATTTCACAGACCCTCATGGCATCCGGCATCCCTTCCACGCCTTTTAATTGAAACCTTCCCTTCCCTTGGGGTACCTGGAGCTGCCTGCCTCACGGTCCTGCATCTCCTTTTTGTCCTACCCTCTCCCTAGCAGCTCACCCACCTCCCAGGCAAACGCCCTGTCCCACTCTCAAACACACGCCCCCAGGAGCCCAGGCCCCTCTCTGAATGCCCCCGTGGACGTGTGGCCACTGACCCTTTCCAATGTGCCTTCACCGGCTGCCTCTCATCCAACAAGAACACGTCGTGCGTTGTCTGACAGGGTCACTCAGTGTGCTGAGACCCTCCATGCTACCCAAGCTGCCATCTTCCCAACACAGGTAGAAACGAGCCCCCCAAACTGAGTTTAACCTCTCTGTCCAAAACTTGACCCTCTTTCTGATCTCACCCCTCTGTTCCCCTCAGGATTGAGGGGCATCAAAGAAAAGGGGGGACTGAAACCAAGCATGACCCTCTGGGTACAAAAGCCCCTCTGTGTCCTGTGTTTCTCTTTCTGTAGAGAAAGGCTTTTTAGTCTCCTAGACCTTCCCTGAGTTCCAAAGAGCAGATCTAAACAGTGACCAGTTAGGGATGGGAGGGAACCAGAAACAAAGGGAAAGCCATCAAGAAACAACAGGTCAGCAATAAAGCAAAGTCCTAGATCCTCTTGAAGGGATGTAGGTAACAATTTGATACAGATCTTTGAGCCCCTACCCAGGTCTAACCACAAGCACGCAGACCCCAGACTGGCTGGAACCAGAGGGTGGGTGATAAATTCCTAGAACATCACCCTATTACCACCAATCAGAAGAAGGGCATGCCTTCTGCAGTCCTCACCCCAAATGCTGCTTTTAAAAATGCTTCCCTGAAAACCAC